CTAATATTTGCTAAAGTAATGTCAAGGGTGAACGATGAAATACTTAGAGAATTATACGATTCAAATACCAGTCAAAATTCAATGTGCATTCCACTTATAAAAATATTTGTGGTAAAGTAACCCTAGAGCACGTTTGGTAAATAAAATAATTATGAATAACACGAAAATATTAGTAGAAATTAGTACAAGACACTGAATCGTTGAATCCGTTGAATTTCTACTAGCAAATTTAGGCAAAGATATGTTAGCTTATGCGATAGTGTTCAACACTCATTATTTTAGTCAACATTACGATTTCTTTCTTTAAGGGCGTGGGGTAGTTTTTCTTGTCCATGAGCAGTGGAAAACCTATTCGAAATACATCAGTTTAATTATGTTTAAATAATAAAGTTTATGTCATTTGACACATGGATGTTTCTCATTTATTTAAAATTAGTTACCTTCAAGCAATACATTCATTTCAGATAACTTTTATTGAACAACATGTTGCTTGCGATTAAATTCTGTCTCTCTGATTTTTATTGCTTACTGGTCGATTACTGCAACATGGACGCTTTAAAAGAATTAATTAGTATTTTTTGACAAAAGGTATTTTAAAATATATAGATAGTATTCTAAATGCAAACAGATATCCACTAATCAATGGAGTTGGAGTTGTGTCGTAGGTGGAATTTGTGCGTTAGTTTCCAGTTTAGATGTGTGAGTAAATCATTTGGTAACATCGATACGTTGGTGTAAGGGTAATCCAAAAAATTCGTTCACACTAATGAGAGGGAGTTGAGAATAAGTGCGGCAGGCAACATACTGCAGAAAGGGATACCCTTTGCCTGAGGCAGGAGTGATTAAATATCCGAACATAAATTAACGCGAGTCAAAACAATTCACTATATCATAGCAGATATTTGAGCATTCATAAAAAATTGATAATGCATAGACAGCAACTGATCTCCGCATTTAAATCGATTTATAATTATAGCCGTTTTGTATAGAACTTCAAGGATTGCTCAGTGAAAATCGAAAAGTGCGTAAACATGTACAATTCCCCAGGTTGTTAATATACAATAAAATTAAGAATTCTACAAAAAAGTTACCAACATTCCTTTAAAATTTTTTTTACTAAAGATTTCGCTTTCTCACAATATTAAAGGCAAAGCGATTTAAAAATTTTGTAGCTCTGAACTGAACGCACATAATGAATGCATAAAAATATATGGAGCACACCATTTCAAAAAAATAACCAACATTTACAACAATTTTTTTGCGAAAAAGATTTATTTGCCAAAAAATTTGAGTAGTAGTATAACTATAAATAATCCTTGTCAAAATGAATATCAAATTTCTCCAGCCACTCCAAATAACAAAAAACAAAAAATGAAAAAAAAACAAATTTTGGAGAAAGGTTGAGCTACTACGCCGAACGGACCCAATATTTCACTGCCTGGTTTCCTAAACATTCTGCTCGTACAAACGCTTCATTTCGGTCTCTCCGGTGAACTTTTCATACCAAAGGAATATCAGGGCATTTCTAAACTTGAGTTTACCTAAACACTGAACATAGTTAGAATCTGTGTCTTTTAAACTTCCTTAGCGTGCATAATTTCAGAAGTACCTCCATTTCATTTTTAGACATTTAAAATATTTAAGGAACTAATGACTTGGGGTTTCGTTATTCTTCTAACCCTCATTCACTTCGTTTTCTGAATAGGACCTATGCGTCTTTTGGTCACCTCGAGATTCAATCACGCCTCCGCTTTATTCGAGTAGATGGTGTCTTTAAATGGGTTGTTTCCTTGAACTAGCATCCACACAAATGTCCCCTACTGTTGCTGCTTGATGAATGACTTCGTGTACCAGCAGACTTGACTCGATGGCAACTTCGGATATTGTCCAACACGACGACGGCCGAGTCCATATTTTTCTCCAGATTAACGATATTTGCATTGACGATGATCATTAAAGGAGGCCTTTCAAATTTCCCTAGACGCTAAATCTTTGACCGAAACTCCACATTAAAAGCCCCAAAATCGGCATATCCGGCTGGCACAATTCTACAAAATCCCTATTTACTTTGACAGCGTCGACGGTGGAGTCTTGATTTTGGGACATTATTCCGTAAAGAGCGGATGTATTAAGCCATACGATCAACTGCAATTTGTGCTTTAGCACGGTGACCTCCACTGAAGGGAAGTAGCAGGCCATGATGTAGTTCTTTGTGGCCATAAATAGCGTAATTGTGCGACGAGCAGCGGACCTGAGTAACATGTCTGGCCTTCAAACCGCGCCGAACAGATTAGACTCTTGATTAGGCGTGGTCAATGCGTTCCTCCAATCAGGGCACACATTTCTCCCTGCCCAAGTGTTTTTAAAGCAAAATTTACTATATTGAATTGTGATGCAATTGCCAGTCACTTCAGGATGCACTCGAGGTTTCAAATCGACTGTACGTCGGGAGTATTATTTGAGTGGGTCCGAATAGATTGACAGCCTTGCATTTGTTGACCACCCTTCACCACGCCTAAAATGTCACTGTTATTTTGGCGGCCCATTGAGCAATTCACCCAGAAAGGCTTAGACTGCAGTAATTGTTTGTCAGCAGTTTTGGCAAAATATCCATTGAGATGTTAATTCATGTTTCTGCATTAAAGTCTGCACAAAGTCTAATAGCACACAGCGAATTTTGTTCGTAGATTAGAGCAAATTACCTTTAACTGTTGCCTTTTTATACCTTTTACACCAGGCAAAGGAAGCAAAGAATAGCGTAAAGTGCGCGTAATTGGTATATGCATCATCAAGAAAGTTCATAAGCTCAATATTTCGTAATTTCTTTAGATTACACTCTGATTTGTCCTATGGCCCATCACTCGGTACCTTATTTTGAAGATTTACTTTATGCAGATTTCCGCGTTCTTCCACTTCGATGAGGTGTCACCGTACACTTTCTGACTGTAAACACTGTCATGCAGTAATCGAATTGCCGGTTAAATTGAAGCTTCAATTTTTTCATGAAGTCGTTCACAGAAGTGAATAACTAAAACATTTTTAAGAATCAATACATGAAGTAGGAGCAATACTTTCCAGTTATTTTGTCTCGAGTCATTTAAATTCAAATCATTCGTGAATACATAAATGGTAAGTCCATACACACCGATCATTACGACGACGCATAGAAGCAGATGAACCTGTAACGCTACTTAGGTTGGTTAGCCTGGTATATAAGGTTTAAATACATCATCATCCACCGGTGCCAAATGGGTAGAAAACGTCTGCTAGGAGAATATGTCGTAGGGTAATAATTTAAAATAATTATACGCTTAAAATAACACAAAATTGAGGGACTTGGCCAACCCTTCTTGGACAGAGCAGGATTAAGTTACACTCGTTGCATACTTGATTCTCGAATTAATACACTTCGGAAACATCGGTTAAAATTATGTTGAGAAATGCGGTATTTAATCAATGAAAGCCACATATCAAACAATTGTAAGATTGCGGCAGAAACTAAATGCCTATGTCACGACAAGGAAGATTTCGTCAATACTAAGGTGCCATGAAAACATCAAACATTCCTTTAAAAAAACAGTTAACGTGTTACAATTACGCTGTAATTGCTCTTTTTCTGAAGACCGTGTCAAATAGTATCCTGAACTTGGTAATAAATAATCCCAATAATAAAAACGCCGCCCACTGGGCAAGAATGTTCTTTGTTTGCGCTCTCCTATTGGTTCCAAGCAAGTGATTTTGATGGTCAGGGGCTCATATATCCAGGCCTACAAAAATCGCCACTTATTATGCCCGACATACAAGAATAGACTCCCTATGTGAAGTCAGTAGGTCGAAAGTAAACCTCTGGCTTGGTAACGTGGGTGAAAATTGACTCTTTGTCGACATGGTGTGTACTTAACACTACTTACATAGATTGTAACGAAGCAGATGCGTGACGCTGCCAAATGGCAGACAATTCCCTTCTGTTTCCCTTCGTTTTCCGACTCTGTGGGTTTTTATGTCATTGTCAGCCTACTAGTCACAGTGAATTTAACCAAAGTGATAGGAAAGGTGGGAATTCGGTGAATAGCTTTTCAAATTACAGTGTTGTTAATCACGCAGATTCACACTCGCTAATACGATCACTCTAGCCTCCTACACAAGGTGCCCCTTTTCGCAGCATGTCACTAGCCGCGCGGATCCTCAACGCCCCCTCATTAGCCGTTTTTCTGGTCTATCCTCACGCCTAGGTCTCGATGTTAGCGCATGCACGACTCACACATTTGAGGTGTAAATACACACGCGCGAACCCCACAAACAGGACACAACGACACCAACGTGGTTGAG